ATATATATATATACACACACACACACACACTAACAGACAAACACAGACGCTTTCTTATCAATCATAGCTGGCCTTCCCCTCCCCCATCTCATTCACATCAGCTCGCTTTTTGTCATCCTTCGACCCGCACACTTTGTTCTGCCTTCCTTTGGCCTCCAGTCCCCATGTCCCCCCCCCCACCCTGAGCGCTGTGTCGCTCGCTTCCTGCCTCCTGTGTCTGCTCCTTCCTCTTTCCTGTTTCCCGTTCTCTCCTAATCGGCTCCCTGACTCAGGATTGTTTGTCTCGCACTGAAACCCCATTAGCTGACCAGTGGGTGCAGATTAGCCCCCCCTGGGCCATGCTGGCTTGTTTACTCACTCGATCACATGGTCAGTGTGATTTCTGGAGGCTTTCTCCCCAAGGACTTAAACTGTCACCTTGTGCTGTATTAAACAGGCTTCAGGGTAATTTTTTCATAAGGGGAATCCTTCTGCTCAGAGTATCTACACACTAATCCCCACAGACTCGGCAGACCAGGCTCCTAAATCAGAATTCTGAGACACAGCCCAGCTGGTTAAGGATCCACACCAGAGATAAATGCCAGCTGCTTCTGGTCAGTAAACTGTAAAAACAGTTTGTCTTGAAAAATTCGTTTTACTGGCCCGGGTGCACAGTGCCAACAGCAACAGACTGTGGGATCCACAGTGGTGTGACCACAGTGTCTGTTGGCACCCAGACCAATCTTGCAAACTTGCCTTCCAAGAATGATCTTGTAAGATCACGAGGACAGAGATCCAAATTGTGGATTGAGACAGATGTGTACTTCCTGTTCCACTATGCTGTACACACGGCTGTAATATTTATCGTGGGTATTTATTAAATGACACATAATCGAAATGTCCAGTCTAAATGACTAATTATTCCTGGTATGATTACTGGTTTGAGTGCTTTTCATAAATGAAGTTTGCACTTAAAATATTCACATTTATTTCAGCTCTGTACAAACGTTATACGCGGATGATAACCATTCCAGTTCACGAGCCAAAAAAGTGAAAAACAGCGGGAAAATACTATCTGACAGGAACGACGGAAATGTTACTCTGATTAAGGTAATACAATTTTTCTTCCTCCACCATCTCAACAGCACGCAATGAATCATGGGATTGTTCTCGATTGGCAAGGATGCACCCAATGCATACTTGATATTTGGGGCGGAGCAAGACCAACATCGTCCTCTGATGTTGTGATCTTAGTATTGGAACTGGTCCTCGGTGATGGAGTATGATGTAAAACGGGTACACGAGAACGCAAGTAGAGTCAAGTACACATATTGATATTCCGCCATAGAATATAGGAAAGGTCTGGCGAAACCCATAATCCCTTGTGTGACAGCTGGAGTATCACAGGCCAGCTGTAAGTGCAGAGCATTTAGAGGGAAAAAAAAAACAAATATCACAGCACTTAGGGCCCAGGATATGGCTCCTGCAATCTCCAGAAATCCATCAGTCAACTGATGTAATGCTGTCAACATATAATATGCACCCCCCTTAATCCTTTGTACTAGCAAAGTGCAGAGATTCAGCTAAACTCTTTACAAATAGATTATATTGTTTCTTAAGCAATACTGATTAAAGTACTGATTCTGTCTGAAGATTACAAGGGCTATTTGCATCTCCTGCCCACTGATGATTCATCTTTATCCCGCTGAAAATGTGGACCAGTGGTGGTCAAATAACAAAACGATATTGCCGACCTCACTAGGAGAGGAGCATTTTTTTTTTTTTTAAATGCTGCACTGTAGACAGTGCGTCAGCGCAGTGGTGGCACTGCGGCCTCAGGGCTCGGGGCTTGACTGTGCATGTGGCCGTTCTCCCTGTAAATTCAGGTGTGTTTCAGGTACCCCGATTTTCTCCCGAAATCTCACAGGTGAATTGGTGTCACTAAGTGTGCGAGTGTGTGTGCGTCTGTGTGCCCTGCAGTACAAGCTGTCCTGCATTGTATATGGATGGATATTACAACAATCCCTAATCTGCACTGCTGTTGAGGTAGACTTCATAAGTGTTTAAACAAGGGATTTCATTGACTGTTCTTCTAAATCTCGCTAATTACTCTAATGAGACTTAAACTGCAGGCTCCACTAATCAATGCTCTTATGGTTAACTAGTAATGGGAGGAACGAGGTTTGAAACATGGTAGGTGAGAAGCTCTGCCAATCACTGCATGTCGTAGACCGGCCCTTCATTGTTTAATTTGCTGGCTGCATTACTGTTTCCGATGGTCTAAACACCTTGGTATTACTATTCATTACCACGCAAAACCTTGCATATCGCAGGATTTACGTTTTTTTCTTAAGACGGCTGGTGATTATTTGTCAAAGGCATAATTGTCTAAGCTGAACATTAATTCTGAACATGCTTCCACAGCTACCATATATTTTTATGTTCATTATCACTGGAAATCAGAACAGGCTGGGTGACATCCTTAAGGGACCCTTTGCAGTGGATGCACCAGGAGCTTGTGAGGTTGATCCACAGCAAGGGGCCTCCTGTTGGATCCTTGTGCTATTAACACAGTAGTGAAATTTTCAACTGTGTAAATAAGTTCAATTCCAAGTCAAATTAGACAAAAACATCAGCCAAACATATAGAATTACACTGAAATGAAAGGAGAAAAGGAGTAAAGCTGAGTGTGAGACGTCTTTTATCTGTGCTGTGGAGGCAAAATTCCTACTTAAAATCGTCCTGCCTCCTTGGGGCAAAAAGCCACTGTTGTCCAATCAAGGAAGAAAATAATGGAGAGCGACTGACATCAGAATCTGCGGCTCTCGACCAATGCTCTGTTCCTCATGGTCTGCGGGCACCGCTGCTAAAATTCAGCATCTTGGATAACAATGCCAGCCTACAGCCCCCCCAGCTGTACGGTCACGAGAAAAGCCCGGTTAGTAACGGGGGCCGCAATCCCCTCCCCCCTTCCCCCCCCCGACATCGGCCAGGCGTGTAGGGAATCGTTTATACATCCAGGAGCCTTTTCAGCTCATCCGTTTATTTAGAATTCATTTTTATATATGGCTGTTTTCCACAAATAGCTTAGTGGAGATTTAGCGACAGCATTACATAGATCTGAAACGAGCTAAGAGCTGCATCATAGACAGATGTAAGACTGAATAATCTGCTTGCAATAGAGGAAAAACACAACGGAGCAAGCAAAGGCAGGCGGGGTAGTTACAGGAGAAAGCGGAGGTGTGTGGGTTAGGGTGACCGATTCTCTGACACAAGCACAAATAGTCATGTGTTCATTTGTTACCCTTGGACAAAGACACACAGTTCTTTCTCTTCCTAGTTTACCTAATGCCTCCATTCCCGGTCCTCACATGTGCTTAGCTACGCCATTCGTAAATCCCAGGATGCATCGGGGTGACGTTCGGAAAGGTTTGCCTTTGACAGACCCCTCTGAGGGGACTACGGCAAACCTGGGCAGCTGTGCACGCTGCACGGCTGCTGGTGCGCTCCCCACCTGCGCCGTGCACCTGTGCCTGATTCGGCGCAGGGGCCGCAGGAAAAAAACTATTGCATCAGTAGTGAAGCAGATTTCATAAGACATTGTTCTAAAAAAAGGCTTGGCTTAAAGTCTTGCTGAGAACCCAGAAAGCTGCATGAGAAATTAATTATTGATGCGACGGGAAACAACTGGTTGCCAGGACGCTCAATAAAACATAACAACCTTTATTATTCATGAAATTAAATGCGGCATATTTATCGTGGTTAAGAAAACACGCCGCCAGAGCATCTGGCATGTTTGTACGCTCGCCAGTGCTATGCCTCTGTTTTCTTGTCACGTCACTGCTCACGGCACAGAGGACGGCACCCTGGTACCACTTGGCTGATCTGGGCACCAGTTGTTTGCCGGCACTCGTCTGTGAGGTATCTGATGTGAAATGGCAGAGATCGGTTTTCACGGAAGGGATGTGTTAGCTTTAATCTATTCAAACGGTCGAAAGCGCTGACTAAACTCCATGGTGGTGCGTCACGAAAGCACAGCCACAATGCCGCCAGTACACACTCTCAGTATGGAAGACCTACAGAACAGATTCGACGGACTGGAGCAGATGGTTCTAACACGCTACTGTACTTGGCTTGGACGTTGACCAACAGGCAAGAAATAGGCTGCCTGGGGACTCGATCGTTCAGTCTGAGAAATGCTGAGAGAAGTACTGTATAGAGATACAGATGGATACTGTACAGAGGCACTGAGCTGAAGGCTGTACAGAGACACACTTATATACTGTACAGAAATATGGAGACTAAACAGAGACAATGTTATGGAGACTGCACAGAGACAATGAGATGGAGACTGTACAGAAACAATGAGATGGAGACTGTACAGAGACAATGAGATGGAGACTGTACAGAGACAATGAGATGGAGACTGTACAGAGACAATGAGACAGAGACTGTACAGAGACAATGAGATAGAGACTGTACAGAGACAATGAGATAGAGACTGTACAGAGACAATGCAATGGAAAGCGTACAGAGACACTGAGATGGAGGCTGTACAGAGACAATGAGATAGAGACTGTACAGAGACAATGAGATAGTGACTGTACAGAGACAATGAGATAGTGACTGTACAGAGACAATGAGATAGTGACTGTATAGAGACAATGAGATGGAGGCTGTACAGAAATACAGATGCATATTGTACAGCAATACTGAGATGGAGTTTATACAGAGGCACTGAAACAGAAACTAAACAGCGAATGAGGAGGAGACTGTACAGAGACAGATGGATACTTTACAGAGACAATGAGGCTGTACAAAAAATGTGATGGAGACTGTACAGAGAGACTGAGAAGGAGACTGTACAAATAGAATGTGATGTAGACTGTACAGAGATGCAGATGTAAACTGCACATAAAGACTGAGACAGAGACTGTACAGAGACCCTGAGATGGAGACTGTACAGGTACACAGATGGATACTGTAAAGATTCACCGCAGTAACACTTGAAAGCGACCTACCATCCAGGGAGAGCCAGTCATGCTGGGAGGAGGGCAGCGAGGGCAGGGCGCGGGCCTTGTACTCGAACACTACGGAATTGGAGATGATCTGGTTACTGACAGCCACCTGCAGCGTCACCAGCCCTGTGTCATGAGCTGCAGAGAGAGAGAGAGAGAGAGAGAGAGACTGACTGAGCATCAGGTGGGAGACTCTTCACTGTCACTCACCAGGCGACAGGCCATCCGTCAAGGTGGGTAACTCTCTGACTGCCCCTCTCGCTAATCCCCCAGCACGGTGTAAACATCCAAGGATGAGTGACTTTATTTATTCCATGACAAGGCCTGGTGAAAATGGCGGAGGGAGGAGCAGCACAACAACATGCAGGCACTCTTACCCGGGCAGTAACAGCGCAGCACGCCGGGCTGGATCAGGGAGGCGGGGACGGAGATCTGATCGAACAGACAGCTGTAGCTGCTGTTAGCCTCCTGCCAAGGGCCTGTGATCAGCACCTTCACGCCACCCTGAGGAAACAGGCACGGATAAATGGCACAGCCAGCACGCTCTCTGCTAGCGTCACGCACTTCACAAAGCTTAGCTCTGGTGCTCGACCTGACATCTTCGAAATAGGTACGCAGAAAGAAAACTCCAGGAGAAGCATGCCATTTTCTATTGTTTTGGTTGTGGTTGCACACTCTTTAATTCGAGTAACTGGCACAGCAAACCCACCCACGTTAACAGATTCGGTTTTCGTGATTATTGTTCAGCAATGATTTATTTTTGGCTTCCTGCTGCCATCTAGTGGACACTACCATGAATAGCGGCTTCTTTTTTTTCCTTTTTTAAATATGCCTTCATTCGTACTGCAGGTTGCCATCTTGTGGTATTCAGGCAAATTGCAGTTTTGAGGTTCCATTTGAAGCCAGCTAAAGAACGTCTAAAACAATTCCTGAGCAGAAAATGAATGATTAGTATAATTAATAGATGGATTTATTTGAGCAGAAACTGTACAAGAAATATGATACATAAAATCAATACTAGTTTTGCATTTTGGTAGTCATATTACTATAACTATGTGTTCTGCAAAACTGTTAACTTAACAGTCCATGTTTCTGTCCTTGTATTTATTGCCTTGTTTTGCTTTTAGAAAACGTGTTAGATTACTAACTTAGTCAGGTGACTTAGATTATTGAATTGCACCAGGTTTTGCTGTTAAAATCATAATGGACACCTTTCCATTCAGGCACTGTGCCGGACGCCCACCTCTGGGTAGGACCACTCGGGGGAGTAGTCAGTGACCATGAAGAGCCTTCCGGTGGCCTGCAGCATCCCCAGCGCCCCCTGGGCCACAGCGGCAGACACGACCTCGGCCACGTGCATGAAGGCCAGGGAGCCGGCCTCCCCAGACACTCCGCCGGCTTGGGGACTGCAGCAGGTCTGCAGGCAGAGCTCGGCGGGGCTGTAGCCAGTCCCTCTCGCCCCCGTGTCCTCCTGACCTTGGGGTGGCGCCCCGGTGGAGCTGGCCTGGCCGTCAGCACCGCTGGGTGGGGCTACCAGCTGGTGGGCGTACAGGGCCCCTCCAGGTCCCACTGCCGTCCCTGCTCCATCCACGGCGATGAAATCGCTAATGAGGTCAGAAAACTGATTGCCGAAGGAGATGTCAAAGTGGTCCAGGCTGATCTCCAGGCCCCCGCCGCTGCCTGCTCCAGCCCCTGCTCCACCCAGGGCCTGGTGGGCACTGTAGAGCCCCTGTACCAGTCCTGCACCCTGCATGAGGGGCTGCAGCTGTTGCTGGGAAGCCCCGGAGCCGCCAGAGGTCCCGTTGCTCAGTCCCCCTCCATCCCCGCCTCCTCCTCCAGCCCCGTCCGCTCCCTGCTGTAAGTAGTGATCGGCGCCCCCTTCTTCTCCGCCGCTGCCCCTGCAAGCCTGAAGGTGATTCCCGGATTTCATTAGGCCCTCTGCTCCATTCTCTGTGGCCCCTGTCTGGCCCACGGCTCCAGCACTGCCTCCCTGATCCAAGCCCACTACCTCCTCATGCTCCGGGCCTAGGCCGGGGAAAGCCCCCTGGTACTGCAGGAGCTGGAGAGAGCTCGTCTGGCCAGCTCCTTCGGCTGGGGACCCACCATTGCAGCTGGGGGCCCTGTGCTGGCTCTGGTGGGTGTGGTGATGGTGGAGGTGCCCGTTACTGCTGGGGGAGTCGGTCCGGACCACCTGCAGGCCCAGATAAGCACCTGAGTCGTGGGAGTTGTGCTCCATTAGGTGTGACTTCTGTCCAGAGCCCTGTCGGCCCTGTTGGGATGGGCTGGTCTTGGGCGCCTCCTGGAGGAAGAAGCTGGGCGAACGGGTCTGGTGGGCAAGATGTGGGCTGGAAATAGATTGGCCATAGCCCCCTGAAGCAGGGCCAGATGGGTACTCCTGCTTTGCATCAATGGCACTGAAGTCCATCTGCTCCAGCGTGGTGCTGGGACTTAGCCCACCACCAGAGGGCAGCAGAGAGCCCGCAGGAGTCAGGGTGAGGGAGCCCTGGGCCGAGCAGGTGCCCGCAGAGCCCGGCACACCACTTCCGCCGGTCACGGCCGGGCAGACTTGGTAGCCACTTTCCTTGGCCAACTGCTGTTCGAAGGAGGTGTCCTCTGTCTTGATGTTCTTCACCAGTGAGGAGCTGAAGCCGTAGCTGTTATCGGACAGCGGGGGAGAGCGCTGCAGGCCGCCATTGCTGCTACTGCCACTGCCCGAGGAGGATGAGGCGCCGGAGGAGCTGGGGTCTGCCTTCAGGCCACTGCCACCATAGGTCTGGCCCTGCTTGGGATTGTTGAGGAAGCAGTCGGGGTCGAAATTCATGGCGGTCTCCGGCAGTTTGATGGCCCCAGAGTCCAGGCTGCTGGAGAGGACCAGCTCCTCGGACACACCGGCAGCGGACAGCATGGCCAGCCCGTCCGTGGCACCGCCTGCACCCGCGTCCCCGCCAGCCCCGCCAGAGAACGCAAACTTGTGCCCATCTGAGGCGACGGCTAACACCAGGCCTTGGGAGGTGGCATCAGGGCCCATGAGGTGGGAGCTGGGCCCGCCGGTGGGGGACATGCTGTAGACGGGGTCGCCGGTCACCTCGGACATGAAGACGGCAGCACCCTGCGAGAGGCCGCCCATCACGGAGGCCACATGGCCGATGCCCGCCACCACGGGGCTGTCGGCCATGTCGGGGTCGCTGTTGAGGCCGCTGCTGATGGAAACGGGTGAGTTCTGCGTGGTGTCGGGAACCTCCACCTGGTTGGTAGAGGAGACCTCCGTGCTGCTCTGGTGCAGCAGTGCTGGTTTGGGCACCTTGCCATTGCGTTTCTCACGGGCTCCGCCCCCGCCGCTGGCTCCGCCCCCTGCCCCCTTGCTGCTGCCGTGGCTGTGCTCCGTCTTGCCCTCAGAGACGTCATTGTTCTGCACCTCGGAATGGGCCCCACCATAGCCACCTGAGCGCGGGTCCACCTTGGGTGAGATGATGCGGTGCTTGGCGCTGTTGCACTTGTGATGCACGCTGCTGCCTGCGCCTGTGGCGGGGAGGAAGAGACAGACACCGTTAAGAAGGGATACGACTACACGGATGCACACAGCCCCCTGCAGGCAGCATCAGGAATTGCACTAGAATTAAATTTTTTAGTTAGTGTGTTAATTAATATATGAATCTGTAAAAGGTTTATTTATGGCTCATAACCGGATTTTAAGTTAATCCCGTCAATCAGGAAGTACAATGTTTCAGAGTGGAGCCTCTCATCAACATAGGTAGCTGATGTCACACATTTACCCCTATATAACCAAAGCGCGACTGTGGCTAAAAATCACAATAAAGTTTGCCAAGCTAGGGGTATGGGAGGGGGGTATTGGTTTGGTGGGGTACTTCGCAATGAATTTTGCCGAGCAGGGGAGGGGTGGGGAGCACGAGTTCATAATAAATCTCTCCAGCCCACCAGTAAAATCCCTGGTATGCCAGATGGTCATTCCAGCCTGTCAGTACACCATCTCAATCAGTCGCCCTAAACAGAATATAGTACCAAGGATGGTATGGCCAATAATGCCTGTCACTCACACTCAATACTAACTGGCTAATTTCTTCATTTTAGCTTCCAATAAAAACAGCACAATTTCAACACAAATAGTTCCATTCCATTTACAAGGATAACACTGTAGATACTCTTCATGTTTGCTGCACATATTTGTTCACACAGGATTTGTTCCAATACTGAATGCCAAAAGCTGTCGGAATCTGCCAGGGTATCAAATCCCGCTAATTTGACTGGTGATTGAAGTGTTAGTCGGCATGTATGGGTTCTGTCTGACATTTTGGTTATACCTTTTTACACTTATTATGAATCTTCATTTCTTTTCCATGATTACGGACTGATTACAGATCGCATTATATTTCCATGTTGCATTTCTATACGCTACCTGTTTCATTTCCACAAATTCCCCAGCTTATTCTATTCTGCGTTGTGTTGCTGCATTGTTGTTTCTCTGTTACATTTCTGAATCATTTTCCCTTGTTGCATATTTATGTGTTGTTTTTGCATTATGGTTCTATGTTGCATTTCTTTGAGATGTTTGTCACCAGTTCTATTTCCAGGCAATTCCCTGATGTTCAGTTACAATCCCTCATTATGCTCCTCAGATAAACACACAAGCATCTTACAAATACTTATGCAGAAATGGGTACGCCCCCAAAAATCCTAAACCGGTGGAGAAGAATTACCAATTACAAACAAATTCCGTTTCTAAGCAATAAGATTGTAGCAGGATTACATTTCCGGACTGCTCAGCTGTTAGCAAAATCACCTTTACTTCAGGACTAAGCAATGATGAACGTTACTCGCAAAGTCACTGAGTTGATGCCACAGGCCACATGATTGCCAACTGCTTCCACTCTCAGGGAAATCCCTCAAAGCCGGACGACAGAGCAGGCTTTCCCCACACAGGGGTTTCCTGCCTCTTTACACCCTCCCACAGTGGAGCTCCCAGGAACCAGACATCAATCCCTGCTCCATTTTAAAATTTCACATCCGCCTCTTGTCGATTGTCAAGTGGGAACATGGAAGCAACGGTGTTCCTAGATCAGCAGCCTAATTTAAAACGACAAGCCTTCCTTGATATATTTATAAAAGGTAAATACCGAAAAGAGGGAATGGATTATCATGAGGATGGGCCGGTTTTGAATGCATTTCCATTGAGGACCGAAATACGCCGTCTGTTTCTTTTCTCCATGTCACCATTTACTGAGTTTGGTTCTGTGAGAGGACGCAGTTCGACTGCCCGAGCGACGGGGTGCACCACGCGACGAACGTGATCCTGACCATTTTCCCCTTTTGGGTTTTCTTCGGTAGCAGAACCCAAAAGGGAACTGAACCAGGGCCTTTCCGTTTAAGATGGGGATGAGCGGACAGGTATGGTGGGAATGTGGAAGCCACCACCATGCACTGAACAAGCACATGTTCCTCGTGAATGCTCCTCCCATGCAGACTCCTAACCCTACGAAGACACCGACCCTTAAGGCAACGTTGGAGAATATATCCATGAGACCCTAACCCAGGCCATCCCGGCCCCGCGTAGCTCTGCACTGGCACCTATAATGCCCTCGTTCCTTCCTCCCTGTCATCTCGCCTGCCGCCCTGCCACTGCCCTACCCTCGCTGCCAGCCCTTACCCAGAGTGCCCGTGCAGAGACAGTTGTGTGTCCGAGGGGGCGGCTTGGTCTGGTGGCTGTCCAGTATCTGCTGCACCAGCTGCTCCACAGAGAAGCCGGAGCTGCTGTTCCCGTTGCTGCAAGTCCACTTGATGCCATGAACTGCCGGGAGAGAGGAGACACAGTCGTGAGCCGCTGCGCCACAGGGCCCGCCAGCCACATCACGCCCCTGACCCGCCCCTACCCTGCAGCCCAGGCCCCCCGCCGCAGGGAAGACCTGCGATTGGGGCTCAAAATATCTTGACCTCTTTGTCTTCCATATGGAGAGGAAGGTCACCTCTTCACTTCCTGTCCTCAAAGCTCACACCATCAAAATGCTCCTTTTGCAATGGCAGACTAATCCCACAAATGCACTTTAGTTCACACAAGATACTTGTTTCTACAAAAGAAACAAAAACACTATTTCCTGTGGTCAGCATCATAAATACAACTAACTTTCACCTGTTCAACAGGATCAATCTTAAATCAACTTCCTGTTTCTTTTGTGGCTTTGGCCAGTCATTGGTTAATTAGGAATGCAGAACCAGCCCCTCACTGGTCACTAAGTGTTGCAGAATCATCCCCTTGTTAATCTTTCAGAGTAACAAGGTATTGGGCGCTACTGGCCACTTTCAGACCCCATATTACAGGCATCCAACTTTTTTTGGCACCCTGAACACTCTGGGTATGTTTTTGTCTCTCCATCTTAGTGAAAACACACATGAAATAAATTGGTCCATCCTTTTGAACTTCTGCACGCACATTTTCACTAAGTTGCTTTGCATAAAAAACCCTGTTAATGATTCATGTTGATCTCTCTTTTCCTCATCTTGCAAAGTTTTAATCAACATCCATCACTGAGAATTTGACTGTTTATTCCTGATTCTGTTCTGAGTAATTGTTGATGCTGTGTGTGCCTTCAATGTTTCTTGAGATCAGTGCTGGTGTGTCACTAATTCTGGTCCACACTGCTTTTCTTCAGCACTGCCTGAGATGCTTACTTTAAGAGCTGGGGAGGCAGATAACGAAAGCACAAGTCAATTTGCCGCACAATAGAGACATCTGCTGGCAAGGTGGTGGAATTGCAGTTATCAGTGTAACTGCCAGCTCTTAGTCTGAAGGTGACATTCCTGTGCACAGCAGGTGCAGCGATGGGGAAAAACTGACAGAGAGGAACAGTCTGCTCCAGATGAAAAGGAAGTCGGTTTGTGCTACACCTCCCCTCTGCACAGGTAACATTCAGGCAATGTTTCCTTGCACCAAAACTTACTGCCATCACTGATACCAGATCTTGCCACATTACAGAGACAGCTACTGCTGTGCGTAATCTCCCCGCAGAAACAATAACACAAGAAAATGCATCCATATTATCACAGCAACCTAAAAGTCAGCAGACTTTGCATATCACAAGGAAACACAGAGAACTTTAATTTAATCCACAGCTCCGTGTCACCCGCACCAAACAGTCATAAATAAACGCCGTCACACGGACATATTTCTGCCGAGGGCTGCTTGAGCAAAGCCAGACTGACTACTGGGGATGTTGCACAAACATTTTCGAGCCGGACCAGTCACAGGGCTCATTCCGCTGATCTACTGCACTCAGAAACCAGGAGAATCGAGGGAAGCGCAATTTCACTGAATAAGGGATATACAATATCCACACAGTGTCTCCAGTGAACTGTTGTATACATTTATTAGGCGGAAAGATCTTCTCAGTCTACTGGTTATGCTGCAAAATCCGCACAAGTTCAGTAAATAAGGGATATACAATATGCTTAAGGTCTCAAGTGAAATAGCCCACACTCTTATTAATGCTAGCTGCTTAGCACGCTATCTTATCTCCGGCAGCGGTAAGCCTACAGCCTGTCTTTACAGCTAGGTAAGAAATCGTAACACACAGTTACAAGGGTACAACAGCTGAGCCCTATAAACAGTTCAGGTGACAACATGACACACACAGTCATGCACACAAGGCCACCTCCCCTCACCACACTCTCATGCTCATGCTCCCAATATAACGTTGGCACCCACACAGCATTGGGCTCATGGCCAGAGTCTGGCTATCAGTATCTATAAGAGAATGCACTGGAGAAAGTTCCATCCTGTCTGAAAGACCAGCCCCTTGTCACAGAGACCCCACCCTGTCTGATAGGCCGGCCCCTTGTCACAGAGACCCCATCCTGTCTGAAAGTCCGGCCCCTTGTCACAGAAACCCCACCCTGTCTGATAGGCCGGCCCCTTGTCACAGAAACCCCACCCTGTCTGATAGGCCGGCCCCTTGTCACAGAGACCCCGCCCTGTCTGGAAGTCCGGCCCCTTGTCACAGAGACCCCGTCCTGTCTGATAGGCCGGCCCCTTGTCACAGAGACCCCGCCCTGTCTGGAAGTCCGGCCCCTTGTCACAGAGACCCCGTCCTGTCTGATAGGCCGGCCCCTTGTCACAGAGACCCCGCCCTGTCTGAAAGTCCAGCCCCTTGTCTCAGAGGCCCCGCCCTGTCTGAAAGTCCGGCCCCTTTTCTCAGAGGCCCCGCCCTGTCTGAAAAGCTAGCAGGTTGTCATCAAGGCGTCCTGCCATCCAGCTGCATCCTTAACAACCAAGGAGCTTCTTCTGAGCCAACCAAGCGAGTGGCTTCTGAAGCTGCCTTTAAGATAAAGAAATTAACCAGTTTAATTCGCTCCACTGAATACTAATCATCTCTCCATCGAAAATCAGGTATTTTTAATGCTGGGGGATAAAGGCTGTCACAAAGCATTGTGGGGCGTCGGTGCTAATGCCTAATTTACGAAGTGTTAGAACAGAGTGAGTCAGGCCGCCCCAGGCTATATTCGACCCACAGTACTAACGCATGTTTCCAAACACTCGTCTCTGAGTCTCTTTCATGCATCACAACCCCAACAGGGAGAATGGATCACACCAGGACAAGTAAATTATTTACGTCTCATAGTTATGGCATTTCGAACACTGCATGTACTTTGGTGCTCCTGTTTGCTAGATGTCGGTCCCTTTAGGGTTCGTGTATTTGGGTGCTGATGTGCAGCTCTCCTGTGAGTAAAACACAGACGACATATTTTCCATTTGTCTGTTTCCCCTGCTACGTAAATTTGGTAAATTGCATGCTTGCAGCACCTCACTGCTGCCACTTGGGGGCAGTGATGCACCACGGCCGATCCCACCGTGTTACTCAGTGAAGAAGCATGAAATGGGTTGTTGCCTTTTGGTACTGTACAACAGCTTGCTCTTTTCCCATGTCCTAATGATTCACAATTTTAATGACAATATGGATTACCATGGTCTTGATTTAAAGTTTCCAGTGTAATGGATACATCGGTTTTACAGCAGGCGCAGGAATTGTGCCTCGGAGGGATTGTCATAAAGGCACTTTAGAAAATCACCATACATGCAAAGGAACAGGGCTGTTACCGAAACCCTGGTCTTTATTGTTTCTGGGGTTGGTTGATCACAAAGATTTGCAAAACGATTCTTAAAAATAAACAATGGCACAGCTTGCTAAACACTTTATTTTCTTAATATAGGGAGCTCGTCCATGTGGCCACTGCATCAGGAAGATGGAGTCAATTGACGTAGGCCACACTCATCCTCCTGCATGGCCTTTTGGGCCCCTGTGGGGCCCCTACATCACTATGGGGCCTCTCTATCTACATGGGGTTCCACAGGACATGATGCATCCCACTGGAACCAGGTGCTCCAAGAGCAGCCTAAGCACCCTGCCAAGCATGGCCACCAAAAGCCTCCGAGACAGAGTCCCCTGATTCCGGTCCCAGGGGGTCAGTCCGCGACACAGTTTGCAGATTTCCCTGCTCAGACACACCTACTAAACCTGACAATTGGCTCTTGAGCTGAATAAGGTGTGTCTGAGCGGGGAAATCTGCAAAGTGTGCTGCAGACTGGCCCCCCAGGACTGGAATCGGGGAAGCCTGCTCTACAACCAGGTCAGAGGCTGGTTATGCGTATGAAAGAGGTAATTAAACAAACAGTGCAGCAGTTAAAATGAGTCACTGTTTAGCAGCTGAACGCCATGTCAGCACAAGAGTCCCCTCAACCATTACTGCTAAATTCCTACTAGTGCTGAACCACAGCAGAGGTGGGGGTGTGTGGGGGTGTCACGGGAAACTCACACATGGGCTTGAGCTGGCCAATCAGCTCCTCCTTGGTCCACTTAGCCCATTCCTTCTTGTCTGTGTTGATTGAGCATAGTATGGGGCCACAGGGCTTCCCGCAGTCCTCTATGGCCGGCACGTTCAGGTAGTGGACCAGCACAATGTCAGGGTTCTGAAGCAGATGGGAGAAGAAGAGAGGCAAGAGGTGAGAGATGGCTTATAAGGATAGAGGGGGAGGTGGCAGAGAGCGGGGGGTTCCAGTTGTTGCCTGAGAATACCGATCCTGGATCGAGACTATTATGGGAAAAGGCCTTTGCCAAGCAAGAATGTGGGTTGTGTGGACAAAGCCCGGAGAACCAATGGCAGCACTGTCAGCACTCAAAAACAGGAAAGTCCTCTCCCAGCAGAATCGCACATGCGACGCACACGTGCATCCAGCAACGTCACACATGCCCTCTCCCAGCAGAATC